CTGCTTTCCCACACACACCCCGCCCTGAGCCTGGAATACAGAGGGCGGGGGGGGCTGGTTTCACCAGCACCTCCCCACACACACACACACACATCAGGTTCCCCTCCCCTCCATGCCTGAGGCATCCATGATGCTGAGGCTCTACTCTACCAGCATAAAAGTTCTTTATGTCTGTTCTCATTGGGAAGTGGGACTCAGCTGACCACTAGGACTCTCCCCACATTTGGGGTTACACTGATAGAGCTACATTGGTTAAAAACAACAAAAACCTTCCCCAGAACCCGTAGGGTTGCCAGGTGTCCGGTTTTGAACTGGACAGTCCAGTATTTGAGCTTTCTGTTCGGGAAACAAATTGAAAAAATAGAAATGCCCAGTATTTTCTAAATAAGTTGTAATGTAGATTGTGATGTAATGTCAAGTGTGTCCAGTATTTTTGTTGAAACCATCTGGCAACCCTAAGAATCAGCAGTTAGATTGGTACAAAATCTGTGTGTAGACCAGGCCGGAAGCAAAGAGGTGAAGGGACTGGCCCCAGAGAGAGGATCAGAGCCAGGAAGTGACCTCAGGCATTCTAGCCCGCGATTCTCGCCACAGCCTCAGCCTGTGCATGCAAACTGGAGCAGCGTTTCTGCCTGGGGCTAACTTGCCACAGGCCTTCATCCCAAACAAGCCTGCACTCCGAATCTCCTGCAGCCCTGTGTGAAAAATGTCGCAGCACAGGCCCTGTACAAAATCCCTTTCCGAGTCAGAGTCCTGAGTACATGAGTAGGCATGGATCCTTCAGCACTGCCCTCCCTGGCACATGGGGGCTACGTCTACACTGGCCCCTTTTCCGGAAGGGGCATGTTAATTTCAGCTATCGTAATAGGGAAATCCGCGGGGGATTTAAATATCCCCCGCGGCATTTAAATAAAAATGCCCGCCGCTTTTTTCCGGCTTTTAGAAAAGCCGGAAAAGAGCGTCTACACTGGCCCCGATCCTCCGGAAAAAGTGCCCTTTTCCGGAGGAGCGGCAGACATTTTTATTTAAATGCCGCGGGGGATATTTAAATCCCCCGCGGATTTCCCTATTACGATAGCTGAAATTAACATGCCCCTTCCGGAAAAGGGGCCAGTGTAGACGTAGCCGGGGTGTACTGCCACCTGCGGGTACCTGGCTGAGGTGTTCAGGGATTGCGTGGCATGTATGGTGCACTAGCTCAGCTTTATTCCCTAGCTGGGAAGCTCTGCCCTTTACAACAGTCTTATCCCCTAGGGTTGCCAGGTGCCCAGTTTTCACCTGGACAGTCTGGTATTTGCGGGCTCCGTCCGGTAAAAAAAAAACCAGGAAATTCCAGACACGTGCAATGTCCGGTATTTCCTGTTTCCCTGGGACGGAAGCCCAGTGGGGACAATTTTACCCGGTCGCATCTGGCGGGGGCGGGTGAGTGAGAAGCGTGGCAGAGTCTAGTGAAGGGGGGA